TTCAGCTGCTTTAAATATTCTTGTAAATCAGTAAAGTGTTTTCATCCATTAGTTAAGTTATTCCCTTTACCTGTTTTCTGATAGTAGTGGAGATAATGTGGCAAGAAGAAGTTGCATGTTCATTACCTCTTGGCATTCACGGGTGAAGTAATCAGCATGCATCTGAGTTCTACAAACTGGCTTGATTTGCAGGTCAGGGATCTTGAACGGAACCTTTCCCACTCCTTGTTAGATGAAACAATTGAAAAATTGCTTGATAAAATCCAAGGAACACACTTTCATTGTGTTGTTATTTTCAACTGTTTAAAAAGAAGACCTTAGGGAAAACTTCAGATATCCTGAAGTAATTTAAGCAGCTGTTACTGACCTTCATCAATGCTTTGCGCCACACATTTTGCCAGTAATTGAACATTGAATGTAGCAAGTCGCAGACACGTTTAGTTAGCGCATTGGCCCCGGAAACGGAGGAATACAATGAATAAGCGAAAAACATCCGCCGGAAGTGCAAGGTAGCGCCTTTGGGGCCCCGACAGGGAATACAATTTTTCACATTTTGCACACTAAGCCTGTTATTGACATAGTTTTATTTTACATTTACTTCTCTTTTCGTTAATGACACAAATAAACGACGCTCAGAGCTACCTGTAAACTGCGCAGTAATTAAACGCAAAATCATTAAAATATTGTAGCAAGTTATTCTTTTTTTTCGAGATATGAAACTTTACTGCAATTAAAATTGACTTCATGAATATCATTTATTAGATTACCCTTACATGGAATCATAGACAATTTCACTCAAAAACAAAATTAGACCCAAAATAATTGCAAGACAAATCGTAAGGTTACCATAAGCAAAAGCAACAGCTGAGCTCCCCTTAAAGTAAATATGTAACTTGAAACTTACCCTCGACAACAAGACTAATGTTAATCCTCTTCAACTGACCATGTTCGTTCACCTCGCAGCTGTATTTTGCATTTCTTTCTTGTTCTGCAACTTTGATTCGGAGTCTCACACTAGTCCTGTTTTGTACAACAGTACCATTCATTCTCCAGACAATACAAGGGGCCGGTCCACCTTCCGCCGGGCACCATAAAGATGAAGAATGGTTGAGCAGGACAAACTGAGTCTTTGCGACTTCTTTTAGGCCTGTAGGAACTAAGCACAAACACGGCAAAACTAATGAGACATCGAAATGTGTACACCTAAAACTATATATCTTCATCTTCCTACACCGACAATCGAGTTTAAGACTCGGTGTCTAAAGTTAAGTACATCTACGCGAAATCGTTACTTGGGTAACATATCATAATCTGTACGAAGGAAAGTAAGCACCCAAACATCATTCTTTATCTAGAAGCACCTAATTT